TGTTCTGGACGCACTGGTAGGAGTGAGATACTGCTTTTCACCTTGGTGTTTTCATGGCATAGAGAATATTTCCAGAAGCATTATGGTGAGGAGCAAGTTTACACCTTTTGGAAGATGTAGTCACAGAAGTAATCTAAAGGGTGATTCTTCACAGACAAACCAGATATATTTTTCCTCTCTTATCTCTTCCTAAAGGTCTTTCTGAGTCAGTGAAAAAACAAAACATGATCAATCCATGTCATTTTTCTGTTTTTGGTGAGAATTCCAGAAATTCAATAGGAGGTATAGTTTATTTTAATTGAAAAACGTAGTTCGTATTACTGTAATACCGGTATCGTGTAGGTGCTTCTCCCTCCTCTTTTTATTTTTCTCTTGGAAATAGCAGTCATAACTCTGCTCCACCAGTGTTGTTGTTTTCTTTACTAAGCTAGTTCTTTCCATTCTCATGGTGAGATTTTGATTCAGATTCCACATTTAGCCTACTCATGTATTCAGCTGTACATAGGAATTCCCAAACTATAGGAATTTCTTCATCCGCTTCTGACCTGCCTCTCCACAACTTCTTTATCTGGGTGTGAAGGCAGCAGGATCAGTCTTGGATATGCACAGTGAGAAGGTGTTACATAAAAAAAAAAAAAAAAAAAGAAAAAAAAAAAAAAAAAAAGAGAGAGACAGAAAGATGCTCACCCAAATTCAGAAATCTAGGCTCACAGGAAGACTGCACGAAGGAGGGCTCTCCAGCAAAAGATCCTTCCTCAGTGGCTGTCAGCCCTTAAAATGAGGTCAAAAAGGGGTAGAGCCAGGTTGCATAGGTGAATTTTAGTAAATTTAAGTCATGTTTTAATACCAGTCAGTTCTTAGCATCTTCACTGTGTCCAAAGTATTAGCAGACAGACTGTATGAAAAGCATCTCTGATGTCTGCTAAAATCTTCTGAGCATAGATCAAAAGTAGAACTACTCAGGATTTTTAGCGCTATAATTCTATAACTGTTAGAGGCTCAATCACTTGTAGGTTTAAAGTAACAGAAAATCTTCGCCTTGTGGTAGGTAGCTCTGAAATCAGTATATGACATAACTAAAAGCATAATTTCTTTATGCAAAATTCAGGCTTCTCTAAAGGAAATCCAGCCCTTGTTCTGCTGGAGGATGCTTTGTGCAGGATCTGGGATATAGCAAGGACAGGATTTCATAGGTGGGCATCATCACTTAAATAGTCAGTGTTGTCTCTCCTGAGACTGCAGTGAAGGATATTCTGAGGCAAGGCAAAGGATATTTGGTGGAGGCTGAACCAAGTTATTTAAAGTTTTATGACTTTAGGTTTTTTCTTTGTTTTTTTCCAAGTTTGTAAAGAGAGGTATAGGAAGCATTTCTTGAAGCTAAATTGTTATGTACAGATTTAATTCTGTGAATTAATTACCTTTCAAAACCCTTCAAACCATAAACATCCAGAAATGGTTTCTTCATGGGGCATGCACAAGTACTGTGAATCCACTGTATTCTCCAGCTGGTAACTTTGATAAACAAGAAATGAAACAAAGGGTGCAGAACAGTTTTACTTTTTATTAACAGTGATGTATTAAAGTAGGTTAACAGCGTTTCAAAGCACTTCATAAATCAGTAAGAGAAATCACAGAACACAAATAAAATGACTCAACAAGGGTCAGTCAAAATGGCACTGAGAATGACATTGAAAATGCTTTTTGCTGTTATTGCTATATAATCTCCATTTATTGAAAGGAATTGATGCTTGATCATGGGCATCAGGTCACCTCAAATGAAAGATATTAAGGGGAGAAAATTCTAGAATCAGTCAACAAAGCAAATATATCATTTGACAATCTTGAAAGTATTCCCTGGTGTGCATCCTGGTCTTTGAAATGCTTCAGGGCTGGGGGCTCTCTGGGGAATAAACAGATATTGTGCATCCTCTTGTGTGCAATCCTCATGAGCCTAAAGTTAAAAATAAAGCCTGCTGCAGACTTCTCAGTCTTACTAAATTGTTTGATAAAAATTTTATTAGGAACTCTTTGATTGATTGATTGATTCCTGGCATGAATAATTAATTCATTGCTAATAGCTGTGGAGGACTAATTTTACAGATATTTCTTATTTTATTTCTTTATTTTTCTTATTTATTATTTATTCATTTCTACTGAAGATTTTCTTTGTAATATGTTACTGGTCCTGCTGAAAAACTTTGCCTTGAGGGAGCTGGCTTCTAGAATGGTTGTGACATACAAAAATGGGATTCATCTTCAGTTCAGTATTGAATATATATTGACTAAGCTGAGGTAATCACATAAGGTCAAAAGGAGTGACTTTACTTTCCTTTACTTTTCCTTTCCTTTACATCATGGGCTGCATCCCCTCATACAGGCTGCACTGACTGCTGTCCCGCGGGCTCCTCTATGTCTGCATGTGGAGATCTGCTCCACATAGTGCCTATGGGCTGCAGGGAACAAACTGCTCCTCTGTGGGCCTCTCCTGGGCTGCAAGGAGCCTGGGGCTCCTCTTACCCTTCCCCTGCACTGACCCTGGGGCTGTAGGGCTTTTGCCTCACATTTCTCATTCTCTTTTCCAGCTGCTGTGTTGCAGCAGTTTTTCCTTTCCTTAAATCTCCTTTCCCAGAGGCACACCCAAGCATCAGTCATGGCTCAGCTCTGGCAGTAGTGGGTGTCTTTGGGAGCAACTGGAGCTGGCTCTATTCTAACATGGGGCATCTGCTGGGCTCTGCTTTCACAGAGGCCACTCCCGCAGGACCCTGGTTTTTAATGTGAGAGGTTGTTTGTTTTGAATAGAAACTTTAAAGGCTTTTTAGCAAAGCCAATAAAAGGTGTATCTATTGTGAAATTAGTGATTAACATTAAAGGCTGGCTTTTGTTTGCTGATAGCATTTGCTACAGATAGCTTTTTATTTATTAAAGAAAGTTTCATTACTAAGTTACAAGTGAAAAGCATATTATGAAGGTTGAATATTATTCCCTTGGTAAAAGATGAGCCAGGAATTTATTTTTCATTTCATATTTCACAGATCTCTTCTGCTTTGTGCTGTTCTCTTAAAGCTGCCCACAATAGCCATTTTATTTGCCTGTAATCTGATAGCATCAAACTTGTAAATTTTGTCTCCTTTTTTTCAAGTAACACAGCTCTGCAGCTCTTTCCACCTGACATGCAGAAAGATAGCATAGTTCCGAAGACTAGGTGAGAGCATGATAATTCTGTTTATTAGTGTGTCTTCTTGCTGTAATAATGATTGCAAGGTAGTAGTGCTTTTTTCACTTCTGGAAATGCCAGATCCAAACAACTCAAATGCACAAATCACAGTATTTCTAATTATTTATCACTTCTACTTTCCTTGTACATTTATCATGACTACTTTCCTTTGTGTCAGTAAAGGAAGTTATGAAAAAATTGGTTTTATAAGGTATTATTTTTCTGTAAGGCTTAGCTTCTGATCAGCAATCAGGTCTTTCATTTGTTTGACTTCTCCCTATGCAGCACAAGCAATTTAAGTAAATTAGATTTAGTTAATTACTTCCATTCTTTGCAGTTGGTAGGTACATGAAAAAACTTGCTCTATCAGCGCTCAACAATTATGATTTATTGGTATTGAAAAGGAACAGGAAATGTCTAATGGAACCATCAAAAAGGTAATTGGGCAAAATAAGCGTGTTTGATTTTGTTTGTTACTTTCATGCTGTTATTTTAAATATGTAGCTGTACATATGCACATTTCCAGTTTTTCATGTTCCCTTTGATACATGCTCTTCTCTATTAGATATTGGTGAAGGAAGGAGAAATGCAATTCTTTAATTTTGGTGGTTTTTTAATATAACTAAATAAATAAATAAAATGCAAGTATTGTAGTATCAAGTAGGTCCAAAAGCCGTATTGGGAATTAAAAGACAGTGGAGTCCAGATGAGAATGAGTTAAAACCTTTTAACAACAAAAGTTGATTATACTGATATCGCCACAGGGCGTTAATGTGGTAGATTCAAAATAGGATTTGATATCCGTAAGTATGCTGGAATCATCTTCAGAGTTCAGATGAATTTTGGGCTGGTTGCTGAAACTTGTATGTCAGAGTCTTTTAATTTTCAGTTGTTCTAGGGATGGCAGAAACTGCTACAAGGGAAATTATTCTACATCATTGCACTGAATGTTTGTCTGTGCTCATTCCTTTGTGGCACAGGAAAAAGAGTGAGAATGGGAGTCAAAGTGGAGAGGTACGATTAAGTATGACCATTCTTGTGTTTCTTGAAGGATTGTCAGTGCTCCATTTCTGGGATAATGCGTATGAGAAGGATTTATGAGGCCTAGCTTTCTAAAGGTCCTGAGCAGTGCTTGTCATAAAACTGTATATCTGTCAGAGTCAAGTTCTTTAGTCATACAAATATCTGAACAGAATAATGCTCAGAACGGCTCACTGTCATAACAGCACTTGGGCTGAGAGTAACATGACTTAGAGGAACTAAAACAAAACAATAAAACTTCATAAATCAAGTTTGCATGCCATGTTTGAGGCTTTGACAATTGCTTCTAGATATCCTAAAAATAGGGGCATATAATGGAAATGCTGACAGATTCTAAACTATCACGGTGGTAACAAGCACTGCTATAATTAGGTGTGCTGAGTGAACCGTAATATGATTGCTGTGTTTATGCCCTGTGCTGGAAGGAATGTTTGTTAATCTGGACAGTCCTTTTAGACAAGTTTGGGAGAAAAAGTTTGTGGAAAAAAGATGCTGAAGCTTCCTTAATATTCAGAGTGATGTGCTTCTTTTGATGTGTATCAAAAAACAAGAGATATCTGCAAGATGTTGGATGAGTCTGGTTAACTGCATAATGTGCTTGTATCCAACAAGTGTTAAGAGAATTTTCCTGAAAAGATGAAGGATTGGGTAGGTCAGTTCCAGAAGTGACATTGAAGTTTTATATCTTTACATTATAAACTGAACGTTGTTGAAATTGTATTTGATAAAGAGTTTTTCTTTCCAGAGGTCAGAGCCCAGCTGTTTCTGAATTTAAGCTGCTCCTGAAAGCACATTCATTAGAAACTTATGGTGTTGATCCTCATCCTTGCAAGGTAACAAGTTTTTTTTGTTTTTTTTTTTTTTTTTTTTTTTTTTTTTAAACTAATAACATTTAATAAAAAGCCATTAATTGAATTTATTTAGATCTATATATTTTTATTTATTTTTTTAGATATAAACAGGGAGTCAGTTATAAAATAACTTATCCCTAGTACTGCATTTAAGCCGAAGTACATTTGAATCCATGCAACAACGAAAGAAAAGGTCTCTGCAGAAGAACCCGACTGGCAGGACGATATAGTAGTGTCAAGTCAGAAACTATGACTATGCTTGATAGTTTCTTTGCACTTACTGCAAAGGTTTCATAGATGCTCAGGTATTAAATACTTGCTTGCCAGGAATTACAAGATTCAGGCTTACTGTTGTCCAGAAGTTGAAGCAAGTTATTAGACCTTGTCAGAATAGTTTTTCAAATACCATCGAAATATGTAAGTCTTACGAAGAACAGCAAATTAAGTGATTGTTTTGTGGTTCTTTATGGAAGGCGACTTCCAGTTCTGATCGTCCCTTACACCTACATTTTTAATTACTTGGTTTTATCCGCATACTCTACAGTCTGTTAATTTTTAATGTTTGCTGCTTCATTTTTTAATTGCTGTCTTTGATTGTAGTCCACCTTGTATACTGTCTAATTTGGTTAAGGAGCAGAAATGTGCACTGCTGCCCATTTGGCTGCTTTGATGATGAGTGCCCTCAAGCAGTTACCTCTAACATAAAGCTGCTTCAGATTTCATATATACTATGCTTGGAGTGTTGTTCTTGTGTGAAATACAGGTCTGATTCAGAGATGAGTGAAGTCAGTGACATTGTAAACTTTAGTTCAAAGCTGTAGTTTTCAGAGGATGCCTCATGCTGGCACTTAGGACAGAATGAGAATTCATTCAGCACCTTCTCTCTATGTAGCAGGACTTATAAAGTGGGAACATGCAGGAGTTCATGGCCTGAAGTGATGGAAAAGTTTTTAGACTTCTGGAAGAAAGATACAATGCACGGTGGCCCCTTGCAAGATGTTCCTTGCAGTTGTTCAGCTCTTTCTCAAGAAACAAATTAGTTTCTGATTATTCTTATCTTCCTGATTGATTGAGCATAAGGCACAATAAACCCAATATACTTTAACAAGGTAAGGGTCTGGGACTTGGGATGGGCAGAAACTCGAGTTAATACCAAACTTACTCGATTCTTCGCTCAGAAAAGATAGGGCAGAACTTCTATTATGTAAGTAATTTTTTTTTTTTTTTAATGGCATTTCATAAACTTAAAGGCTACTAAATATTCTGGTTTATATTCGAGAGTACTTGCTTACTTTAATAAATGTTGTTTTTTAAAAGTACCATCACATGAGAAATTCTGTTAGTCTGTTAAACATGTAGGCATATATGAGACTTGTTTCACCTCTATTTTTATTAAGTATTTGTTGCTTTGAAGTGTACGACTTGGAAGACATTTTATTTTGAAAAGGAAAATAAAATACAGGTAGCCTATAATGTAATTATAACTTCTGCATTAGTAACAGATGTCTCACTGGATAAAGGCAAATTATATTTCTTTTTTCTCTTTCAAGGACTCAACAGGAACAACTACGTTTTTAGGATTCACAGCTGCAGGATTTGTAGTTTTCCAGGGGAACAAACGCATTCATTTGTTAAAATGGTAAGCATGTAAGAGTGCATTAATATGGAAGATTCTTCTTTTCACCTGTGTCTTCCTTTCTTTCCATTATTTTCACCTGTATATTTAAGGTGAACCACTTGGATATTTCTTCTCTTGCCTCATCATGTTTCCTTTTTTAGAGGACCTCTAATAAAAAGCAGAATAATTTGATTTTGTTCTTCCTCCAATGAAAATGATTTAACACAGCACATTAGTCAACGTAATGTAAAAATGCTAAAATGAGTAAGCTGATTTTTCAGCTCTGCTGTAAATCACCAGTGAAGCATATTGACAGAGATGTCTGGAAAAGTTTACAAAAGTCCACCTGTGCTTTTATATGGTTTTTATATGCTCTTAAAAATCTGATTGTTTCCTCATTCAATTAACTTCCTTCAATTCAAAAACAGTACTTGATAAGCAGATATGTAGTCTCAATCTACCCTCTTCTAGTTTAAAATTATTTCCCCTCATCCTGTACTACATGCTCTTGTAAAAAGTCCCTCCCCAGCTTTCCTGTAGGCCCCTTTCAGGTACTGGAAGGCTGCTATAAAGTCCCTCTGCAGTCTTCTCTTTAGGCTGAAAAGCCCCAGCTCTCTCAGCCTGTCCTGACAGGGGATGTGCTCCAGCCCTCTGATCATCTTCATGGCCCTCCTCTGGATGTGCTCCAGCAGCTCGATGTTCTTCTTCTTGCACTGGAGGCCCCAGAACTGGACTTTCTCTTTTTGCTTTGTCCTTCCCTCTTTTTTTAATTTTTTTTTTTTTTTTTCTTTCCTTAAGGGAGGGTCTTTTTTCCCCCTTCTTTTTCCTCCTTTTCACTTCTTCTCCCCCAGTCCCCCACCTCTTTCCTTTAACATATTTGACTTAGTTTTGCAGCCTCAGCCGTGTTTAAGGGAGAGAGAAAACTGAGCTTCTCCAAACGAGGCAACAGGAGATGTCTGTACTCTCAGCAGTGTGGTGCAGAGTGTGTACAGGCATGCTGAGAAGTTCATGAATCTCATTTTGGTCCAGTTGCTAAACTGGTGCCAACATCAGAAACTTAGAAGCACTCTCAGCCTTTCTTGTGGGAAGGAGATGGGAGGGAGATGAGGAAATGGTGAGGCAGCTGTTTACATAAAGATGGGCTCTCCTACACCTATAGAAATCTCCCTGAGAGCTGAATAATAATAAATCCTCAGGGGTTTAAAGTCAGTGTAGTTGTACATGTAACACACATTTCTCTATGCAGCTCTGGAGATGTTTGTCAAATACTCAGCATTTGCGACCCTGGATTCATGTTGTAGTTTCCCTAGGGTTACTATCAGGTTGCTCTAGTAAGAATGTTTAAGTGGCATGTGCTTTTGGCATCGTGTCCTGATATCTGTAGTGCCATTCTATGACAGAAGGAGAGAGTATCTTTTGCGAGGCTTATATCCATCATGAGAATTGAGCTTGAGTGCTTTATTTTTCTTGTTTCCATGCAAGGGAAGGTGACTTTTTGAAGATTTTTGTGTATTCATTTAGCCCATTGGCATGGAAACAAAATAAAATATTGATAGATGAAAATTCATGAAGTTGTCTCAATGTTATGCTGCCTATTGGAAGGTTGATCTGTTGGGATTGATCTAGATACAGTGTGATGCTTGTACTTTTCGTTTATAAAACCTAGAGCTCAGTAGCTTTCACTGGTATTAGCGGATGTTCACACCACTCAGTAAAAATCCAAATTCATATTTGATATTTCCTTGTCTTCTGATCTTACTGATCTTGTTCCAAAAATCTCAATAGATTTTGAAGACTGACAACTATTCATTACAGAGGACATTATTTATGGTAGACATGCCAAAAGAGTATGATAATAAAAAGTAGCAAAATATACTGTATGCTTTAGTTTGTGCTGGGTTTTTGAAAAGAGATTGGTTCTGTAAATTATTGTCACAGTAAGGTATTGGTAATATATTGTATTAGTGCACTGGCTCAACAAAAGTGTCTTTGGATTCCTGGTTTGCCTTTGACTTACTGTCTTATTTTTGCTTACAGATGTTTATTTCATGCACAATTTTCAATTCAGGATCTGACTGATTTCTGTATAAGGTTCTAAAGCATATTGCATCTTTGTAACCTGCCTGCCAAATTACATTGGTGTTGAATCTTTCTATCCTTCTACTGAAATTGGACTTTTTTGTTGCTATTGATAAATGTTAAAGTAAAATACTTTTTAGAAAATTTCTGGAATAGCATCCTCCTTACCTCCAGAGTCATTCCCATTTCAATTCTGCATCATCCAAAGTCTTCAGGGAAGTTTGAGAAGCTACAGTGTTTTCATCTCTGCTCTGGTAATGATAAAATTTCAGTTGCAATTTAATTCAGAGATAATTGTATTGTCTTAATGCAGTGCAGCATTATTCCATATCTAGTGCTTTGAACCTGGGTTAAATTATAACACAGGATAGCAACACACAAGATCCAGAAATAAGTGCTGTCAACCCTGTTTCTTTTCCAACATCCCAAATGAATTTTTTGCAGGTGCACAGGGTTGTAAAACAAATACTTTGCTTATTTTCCCTACTCTACAAGAAATCAGTATATTACATACTTTTATGCTGAATGTTTTATGGTGAAGATTTTATGCTAAAGGCCTCTCCTGAAGCTTTTGTCTATTTAAAGCCTCCTTGATGTTTGTGAATCAGTGAGGCCTGCGTGCAAATTTTCTTACCTGCAGTTCAGTTTGTTGTCTACAGTAAATCATTTTTCTCTTTCTAGGTGTGATGTCTATAAGCTGAAATTTGAAGGGAAGACTTTTTATGTGTTTGGAGCTCAGAAAGAGGTCAGGTTTAATATTTTTACAGGAATTCTGTATTTGATTTAGAGTCGACTTAAATATCATTCTTAACCAAACTTAAACTTCTATGAAGAATGATGATAATTATAAATATATATTTTCTAAAATGGAATGCAAATGAATGTGAATATTGTTGATTGTCAGAAGAGTGTCTTATTTGCAAGGGATTGAGATGTTTCTTACTTAACCTGCAGGCAGTGCTGAGTTGATTGTGGCTGGTTTTGATTGTCTGTGTAGCCAAGTTTTAATGGGTTTTATAACACTAAAGCTCTACCTGCCTACTCTAAAGCATGAACCCTCATGGGTATTGAATCCTGGATCAGAGAAAAATATTTTCATCTTTTTAGGATCACTTTCTCAAATTTTGCTCAGCTAGATAGGATGAAATCTTTCTTAATTAGAGTACTATCATTGGACTCTTACAATTAAAATTGTGGCAATTTTCCCTGCAACATGCTCTAACCAGTGCTTTCCCATGGGCAGAGTGATTTAGCCCAGTATTATGGCTTTGGATGCAGTCTGAGTGAAGAAAATGGTGGAAGGAAGCAATACCTGAAGTAGCAGGAGCTGTTTGAATGGTAGCAAGAAGGATTTGGTGATAGGACATAGTGAACAGGGGAGAAGTAGGTGGTTAAGCAGTGCAGCAACTGTATAATAGTGGAATATTAAACAGAAAGACTTTGATTTTGGGCTGACGGCTGTCAGGAGAGATTTATCTCAGAAGTCACCTATATATATGTTCTTCTCTACCACTTCAGAGCGTTCCTTTTTATTTCTGAAAAATTTGCCCAAGTAGTTTGATTACCAGCCACATATGGTATATATTTCTTTTAGTGAACTATAGATGGAGGATACACAGGAAAACTTGGTCTTCAGTTTATCTGATTATTCCTGATAGCCATTAGGTATGAATGCTTCATTTTTTTCAGATTTCAAAAGTTTGTTTGTTTTATTTGTCTTCTTTTTCTTGCATATAGAAAAAGGCTGTACTGACATTCCATACCTCAACACCAGCAGCCTGCAAGCATCTTTGGAAGTGTGGGGTGGAGAACCAGGCTTTTTATAAGTAAGTAAAACTGCAGTCTTCATCTATGCTAAAATGAAAAGAATATGTGCATCACTAGAAGATTATTCAAAATGAAATGTTCTGTTTCATTATCAGAATTCAAAATGAAAACAAAAAATATGCATGTTCTGAGAATGCTTGTTAGAGAATTTTATTATTAAAATGCATGTTTATTAGAAGCCAGTATTACAAAGTGTTTAGAAACTGAAAGGTGATGTTGGGTGGATATGGTATTGAACTTTTGTTTAGAAACGCTTCCTTTTGGGTGGGTAGTTTTTTCTGCCACTTAGTCTCTTCTTATACTATTGCATTATTATTTTTATTAAAAAACTTTCTTTGTAAGGGACATAGTAACACAAAGAGGATGGTGTAAGGGTGTATCCTTACTCTTACCCATAACTGCACAGGAAGAATGTATCTTCTACCATGAACGTTAATAACTTGCTTTATTTTGGAGGAGATTCCTTCTTATATTTTGATACTGATAATGTATCCTTCTAATTCAATTAATATATTCAGTGGGAATGCCAGAAATATGAGGTACTACAATAAAGCTGCTAATTCATCTCTACGACGAAAAATTGTTTTAGTTATGACTCAGTCCAGGCTCTCAGTTAATGGTTGTGATTATTTTCAACTACTTACAAGCCATAGAATATTGTCCTCTGGGATCTGAGAATGAGAGACTAAAACGAAATCAGTTTGCCATTTTGAAGCCACCGTACATCAAAGAAATAGCATGCCTGAGGTTCTACTCTTCCGTGATTGTTGTAGGTCTCTGATTGTTGAGATAAAAGTTTGCTACATACTTTATGGTTATGGAAGAGCGCAAACTCCTTAAAGTTGACAGCATAGAGACACCATAAATGCACCTGTTTTTAGAGACAAATATACTGCTTCTGCATTCTTTATTTGTTTGATCAGTGGAAAAGTGGAAATGATAGCCATATTGTCTTCTCTTAGAGTAAAATTGGCCTAGGGGTTGTTGGCTTATTGCAGTCTTTCTTTTGTCTTAAGAATGAGTCCTCAGAGATGCAGCGTTTGCATTTCATTTTTATGTTTTCCTACCCAGGTAATCTCTCACTTTATGTTCAGTTATTCTGCACTGTTTGAATTGTTTTGTGTGGCACTTCATATACAAATCCATTTATAGGTCTAAAAAATGTTGGTAAGTCAAATTATTGCGTACTACTTTGTTATATAAAAATAGCACAAATTGTAAATGAACTTGTTCAGTTTTGCATATCCAGTTTCTTCAGTGCTGAAAATATAACAGTCTTTGTTCTTTTTCATCAAGGTATGCAAAATCCAGCCAGATTAAGACCATGTCCAGCAGCAAAATATTTTTTAAAGGCAGCAGATTTCGTTACAGGTGGGTGCTTCCTATTTCTTTTTCTTGTTAAACTATTTTAGAAAGTTAAAAAACAAACAAAAATACAGTTATTACTTTTGGCAAATTGAAAACTTTTTCTTCCTGAGGACCTTTTCAAACCTACTTCAGGCCAGGATTAAAATTAGTTTGTATTGACTTGTCAAAGAGCAGTTCCACCGTAATGGGGTCCCTGTTTTGGTGTAGCTTCTAAGAAACAAGGATGCATGGCTATCATAGATCATGTTCAATATAGAGCAGTGTTGCTGGACAGCTTTGGAAAAGGGCTGTATTACTGGATTGGTCTAAGTAACACATAACATTCAATTACAAGAGGCTACTTTTTCTTCAGTAGCTTTACAGATAATTTATCAGCAGAATTTTCAATTTTAGACATTTTTTTTTTTTTCATTTTCTTTTTTAAAAAATACGTAAATTATTCATGCATGTATAGTTCTTGTCATATAATGAGCTCATCTTAGTATTTATTTGCTTGAATATATAATACATATTTTAATGCAGTGGAAAAGTAGCCAAAGAGGTGGTGGAGGCAAGCTCTAAAATCCAGAGGGAACCTCCGGAAGTTCACAGGTATGTCTAGACATTTAATATTACAGTTTGAGGACAAAAGAGAATTTCTGCACTCTGCAGAGACATTCTCTTTTCTCTTCTGTGGGGTGTAGTGACTGTTATTCTGAACCTCCATGCTGAGACATTTGGAAATGAGTGTTGGCTGTGACAGAAAATTTTGACAGTTGTGTATTGTCTCCTACACAAGGGAAGCTAATTTGTGCTGCTTTGAAGCTAGCTTTAATTGGCTAGATAATTAGCTTGTATTATTTTCTGTGTTTGGACATGGAATCTTCTTACATGATTTTGACAGATAAGTACAATGTCATTTATTTCCCCATTCTTTTCCAGTTTCAAAAGATTCTGTTTCGTTTACACATATGGGAATATTTAAAGGTATACTTAATAGCTCTTTCATAGTCCAGTAAGCTTAAAGAATGTTCATTCTTTAAGAAAAGAAAAGTTGATTTGTTAGAAGTAATCATCTGGACTTTATGAGCAAACTAATTCTTTTTAGTGTTCATCACTTATTGCCCTGACAATGTAAATAGTCAAAACCTAATTAAAGATAACAAATTCTTTCTGAAGAGAAGAGGCTAGCAAGAAAATCAGATTTCATAGAATCATCTAGGTTGGAAAAGACCTTCAAGATCATCAAGTCCAACGATCTTTACCTAGTGAATCTCATGACATGGTAGTTCCACATCCACATATCTCTTAAAATCTCTTCAGGAACACCACATAAATGGAAAGCCTGTTCCAGTACCTTGATCACAGAATCACAGAATCACAAGGCTGGAAAGGTTCTACAAGATCAGCTAGTCCAGCTGTCCTCCTATCACCATTCCTACCTGCTTAGCTACTAAACCATATCTCATAGCACCTCATTCAGATGCATCTTGAACACTGCCGGGGACGGTGACTCCACCACCATTCCAGTGCCTGACTACTCTTGGAGAGAAAATGCGTTTCCTTATATCTAATCTAAATCTCCCCCGGCACAACTTGTGGACATTTCCTCAGGTCCTATTTGTTGCCTGGGAGAAGAAGGTGACCCCCTTCTCACCACAGCTTCCCTTCCGGAAGCTGGAGAATGATGAGATCTCCCCTGAGCCTCCTCTTCTCCAGACTGAACAATCCCAGCTCCCTCAGCCGCTCCTCATAAGACTTGTGCTCCAGACCCCTCACCAGTTTCGTTGCCCTTCTCTGGACACGTTCCAGGGCCTCAATGTCTTTCTTGTAGTGAGGGGCCTAAAACTGAACACAATACTTGAGGTGCACCCTCACCAGCGCTGAGTACAGGGGATGATCACCTCCCTGCTCCTGCTGGCCACACTATTTCTAATGCAGGCCAGGGTGGCATTGGCCCTCTTGGCCACCTGCACACACTGTCAACTCATGTTCAGCTGAGCGTCAACCAACACCCCCAGGTCCTTTTCCTCTTTACAGTCATCCACCCGCTCATCCCCAAGACTATAGGACTGCATGGGGTTATTGTGGCCAAAATGCAGGACATGGCACTTGTTGAACTTCACTCCACTGGGCTCAGCTCAGCTATCTAGCCTGTCCATATCCCCCTTAAGGCCTTCCTACCCTCAGGCACATCGACACTACCTCCCAACTTGGTGTCATCTGCAGATTTACTGAGGGTGCACTGAATGCCCTTATCCAGGTCATCAATAAAGATATTAAATAAGATGGGTACCAGTATTGACTCCTGGGGGACACCACTTGTAATGGGTCACCAGGTGGATTTAACTCCATTAATTACTACCTACTGAACACGGCCCTCTAGGCAGTTCCTTACCAAAACAATGATATACTTGTCCAGGCCACAGACAGCCAGTTTCCCCACGAGAATACTGTGAGAGACCATATCAAAGGCTTTGCTGAAATTTGGGTAGACTACATCAACAGCCTTTCCCTTATCTACCAGTTGGTTTCCCTTATCACCCAGTTGTAGAAGGAGATGAGGTTGGTCAAGCAGGACCTTTCTTTCATGAACCCTTTCATGGACCTGATCCCCTGGATGCCATACACATGCTGTGCAATCTCACCCAAGATGATTTGCTTCGTAACTTTCCCTTGTACCGAGGTCAGGCTGACAGGCCTGTAGTTCCCCAGATCCTCCTTACAGCCCTTCTTGTAGATAGGAGTCACGCTGGCAAGCCTCCAATCCTCTGGGACCTCTCCAGATAACCAGGAGATGGTGGAAAGGAGCTTGGCAAAACATTTCTGTGAAGAAACCCTTCCTAAACCTCTCCTGGTGCTGCTTAAAACCATTTTGTCATTTTCTATCATATGTCACAGGAGAAAAGAGACTATAATGCTATTTAAAAACTTTTTAAAATTCTTAATTTTCTGAATATTCTGCAGCTATATCCTTATTTTGACTGTGTTTGTGGTTTTTTTTTTTGTCAGGGTTTGGGGAGGCCTTTTAAAAATACATTTGAATATGGAAGCTCCATGTACACTTGAGAGGAAAGTGGATTGTTTTTGTTGAAGTATAGAAGTATGTTTGCAGAAGATATAATATGCTGCCTAGCCCTAATATGGAACAAATATTAAGCCCATGCAGATATGTTTTATATATGTTTTTGCAGATCACATTTAAAAAACCTGTAGATGATATCCTAGACAGTGTTATCTGGGAACACAGAAAGCAGAATATCAGAATACAAGTCCAACCTTGGGATAGAATATGTGCACACGAAAATGAATTTTAAATTAAATTAGCTACTCAGATAAGGAAGTACCTTGTTGCCTACTTTCTGCAGGATCTTTTTTTTGTGTAGGATAAAAAGATTTTAAAGTAAAATTATTTTTATCTTACATTTTTATTTGCTTTCAGTGTTATAAGGAGTGCATTGTTGAAACTTCCAATGTAAAGAAAGAAACAAATCAGACTGGGAATAGTTACAGTGCAATGCCACACAGACTTAACACCCACAAATATGAGCGTGTATTTTCTTATGATTATCATCCTACAATTGATTGCATTTAGAATATTATGGTACCTTCAAATTCAGCTTTTTAGACTGAATAAGAAAAAGCCTAGTGATGTGAAGTTTTTTTATGATGCAGGTCTTGAAATGGGGAAGAACGATGTATAGCTTGACCTTTTAATAGAGAAGTAAAATCATAGACTATAATAGTTTCAGTTCACCAAAAAAAAAAAAAAAAAGTTTGGATTTTGAGCCTGAAAATGACTTTTTTTTAGATGCAAAACAGCTGGAGGAAATTGTGTGATTGTAGGTATAAAGAAATAATTTTTTTCTTCCTTTATGTTGTCTCTCTTTCTCTCTTTATGTCTCCCTCCCTCTTTTCATGTCTAGAGAGAAAGAAATTTTAGGTGGCTCCTGTAGAATGTTGTATTTGGATATTACATTTAAAAATTGTAGACTGAAAGTCTGCTGGAACGTGTAGTCATAAAGCATTAATACAGTGGCAGTTTTTTTTTTCTGACAAATACACACTGAACAATTTAATTTCAATTTATTATTATTATTATTATTATTAGCAGCAGTAGTAGTAGTAGTAGTAGGATTTGCCTTCAGGGCATTCTTGAAGGAGGAATCTCTGTGAATAAGCACTGAATAGGAACTTTATAAGTGTTAGCAGGCACAGTTCCCATTTTCGGAATTGATTCATAGCTTGTTTCAACAAGCACAAAGATCAAGTAGATAGATAACAAGCCTGCAGAGGTGTATGGGCTGCAGTGATTATAGGTAACAGTCATGTCAGTGGAAAACTTCTCTGGATAGTGAAAATTTAGATTAAGTAGTTCTTAAAGACTGCTCTTTGTAATGCAATTGAGGACAAATATTGCTTTGGGTGTATGTTAATGAGAGGAAAATCATAGTAATTGAACAAGAAGTCTTTTTTATCCACACAGAATATTTAGTGACATGTAATGTGACTTAAAACAGGACATCTGTGTCCTTAGTTTGCAAAAACTCTCAGTGACATGCAGTCCCTTCTCTTTGTTTCCCATACATGTTTTACTCAGTTTGTTCATCTGTGTATCATTTTAAGTTGTCTTTTTTGAACTTGAAATGTACTTATGAAACTTCAGCTCTGCTCTTGGGTTTGCTCCCTTAACTTTCACCTGCAGTTTTGAGTCAGAACCTAATTTAGAGAAAACTGAGAATGGATGGAGAGAACACAACATGAACAGTATTACTAGGCTATGCTAAATGCAAATCTATATACCATTTGAAGTCAAAGATTCGAGAGAATTCTCTTTAATTTCATCTTTGCTTCTGTCAAAAATAAATGTTTTAAAACGTAATGCCTCAGCTCTTGGTTCAGGCCTGTAACATGTAGGCCCTAGATAATTTATTCTGAAGGATCATTTTATTTTCTCAGTGATGTGGTGTTATAGTAGTGAACTATGTGGCTGAAGCAAATCAACAAAATTCCTTAAAATTTCCTGAGTAAGTTCAACACTCGCTATTAGGAAAATCTGTTAGAGGCAAGTAAAACAAGAAAGAAAACCCAGCTGCGCAGCTGAAGACATGGTCTAGAGGCAGTGTTTGCAGTGCTTAAGAATGAAATCTCTGTTTATATGTTAACTACAAGGAGTTGTTGCTGTATTCTTTAGTTTGCAGTGCTCAGTCCATAAGAAGTCCTTCACTCAGTCCCAGAGGCAACGTAACGATATCAGCAAAATGATTTATATCCTCTCTGCCTTCCTTGAAGCCAAATACTCATATCTGCCATGTGGTGCAGAGAGGAGCAACATGGCTGCACAGAGCTCGAAAACATTTCTTATGCTTCTGATGTTGGAAAGTTTGTCTGCAAAGGGTGCAACATAAGATGGGCCAAAGCAGCGTTCATTGTGAAGAGCTTGTTATGTTATCTCAAGCCCTACCATAATTTTTGCAAAATTATTTTGAAATGACATACATTTGTTTGACTCTAGTTGTTTTTTCTTGTGAATAAACTGACCCTATTCTCCCTGTTCTTTTAGAACCAGCGTTACGCAGAGTCGCAGCTCTCCCTCTCTGAACAAGCAACTCATAATTAATATGGAACCTTTGCAGCCCCTTATTCCTTCTCCATGTGAGGAGGAGGAGGTTCCTTTAGATGAAGGTGAGACAGTTTCCTGATTCCTGGCAAACATTACCAATATTTATTAGAAAATACACAGAAAAACATCTTGGTTTGTTACTGACTTAGGAAAAATTTTAATGATTTCTACTAGGAATGCACCATTGAAGCTCTGTATATTTCGTTGAGGAATGATCACTAGCTCAAAGAACTGTCCACAAGCCTTGTGCAGAATACTTTCTGAGGAAAGTTACTACCATTAAATGTTCTATTTATCTTTTTTTTTTTCTTGGAATTATGAAACAGAAGAATGTAAATTAAGTAATTGCATTAAATACCTATCTTTCTGAGATGCAGTCGTTACAAATAATGATGTGAACATCTTGGTCAGTTTAAATGAGGATAATTGATTGTTCATCATAAAAAGGTAGCCAACTAAACAAAAATGTTTCTTATTTAAGACGTAGCGAGCTAATAGAATCAGAAGCTGGGAAATGAAACCTTTATTGCTAATTTGTTGTACTTAATTAACAGGAAACAGGGAACAGCTGATCTTTTGTAACTGTATTCATTTTCTTGGGAGTACGTTTTGAATGTCATTGTATATGTGTCGTGAAATCCTGTTTTCTTTGTTGTTTGGTGTTTATGCACAGAATGTTGTATAAATAGCATGACTTAATTGTCTGTATACTTAGATTATAATAATTAGTAGTAATAGCTGTGTGGCAGGTAGCTAATTTTATCAACTATTTATTTACCTCTGCTGTGAAATACCTGTTTCTTACAGGCATTAACTTTCTGGCAGCCACAAATCAACTAGCGCCTCCCTTCCTGCTGTTCAGTTCCCACTATTGCAGAGTTACAACAGCCTGCTGCTTTACTTATTACTCTAAGCAATGCAATCCGTTTTTGGAAACTGCTGACTACATTTACTACTATATGCTCACTGGAGAGTGCAGATATGCTTCAAACACATACGTTACATATGCTAGACAGTCATGTTTCCTTTTAGATGAGCAGATTGTTGTTATTATTACAGTTCAAAAGAAATATTTGTTCATGGATTTCCTGTAAATGTAATATGTATAGTCTAATACTACTAGCTGCCAAGTAATGGTACTCAGCTCTTGTACAGTATATTCCTGCAGAAGGCTTGGGGCATATCAAATTCCAGTCTAAGCTGATCTTGCAGCTCAGACATATACACCAGCTCTCCTCTCGACACACAGTGTTCGTGTGCATCTTTTTGCTGTGTGTTCCACCATCTCCCTTTCACCAGCACTAATCACCTTGGAGTGAATTAGTACAAGGAGTTAAAAAGTTAATGATAACAGTTCAGTGTCCCAATTCTTGCTGGCTCAGCCTTTAAGAAATTCATCAGAGTGGTCCAGGCAAGGTGCTGTGCCAAAGGCAAGGGAGGAGCAGGATCTTATAGGCTGGGAGAGAAAGGGCGGCCAGCTCTGGGGCTGACATAACTGCACTGGCAAACTGTTTTTAGTGCATAACACATGTCAAACAACCTTGGCAACTCTTTGGATGGTGGGGCCTGAAGTGGGGGCAGACAATCTGATAGTCTCTTTTCCAAAGTGCTTGTAGATGCTGCTGAGCACAGAGTAGCCATGTCAGAGCTGGCTATAGGGCAGGTCAGCCGTCTCCAGGCTGTATAGGCTGGCTTATGCAGCCTCCAGGACCCACACTCGTACCTCTGCAAGGTCTGATGCTAAACCTACATTCAAGCTGCTGATTGCCAAGACCTTCATGTGTTGCTGCACTAACGCTGTGTATGCAGGGGCAGGCAACTCATCAGGAAGGCTGCCCACAGTGCTCTGGCAGTTCATGCCTTGGACAGACTCGGAACAATACAATTTTTCTCTTCTAACTGAGCAAAACTTGCTTATTCTTAATTTTATGTCAGCTTTGGATATTGCAAGCAAAATATGTGGCCAGAAAAAATGGTGATCATAGTGTTATCCTTTTTAATTGCTGGCTTGAGAAAGCACCTTTTCTTCCTAAAGCTGTTGGAGAGGTTCAAAACTGAACTAATAGAAACTGCCAGGTGAGAGGGAATTTTTTTTGTCAATTATTCATGTTGCTAAGGAACAAAGCAATCAGAGATTGTGCTAGCAGTCTGTAGGGGATTTTAAACAGCCTTAGCATAATCTTTTCAAATGTAAAAACCCATATTGCAACCAAATATGAAAAAAACCACAACAACAGCCTATCTATTCTCCCATATGAAATTTCATCTTCGGGTAAAAAAACGTATGCTGACTAATCATGTTCATAAATGACTACTATTCATGGGAATTAAAGTAAAGGGTGTCTGTGATAACAGTTTAGTATTTATTTTAGCACTTGACATTTAGACAAGGGGATTTGAAAACAGAAATTTGTTAGAATGGCAGCAAAAATGAGTTTTCCTGTTTTTACCTCATTCCTCAAGATCTAATTCTTCACCCAGCCCTTAAGGGCTGTATACAGGTGTCCAATTACAAATTTAACTTCCAGATTTGAACTAGGTATTTTTTATTTGAACTTAAAAGTATTTTTTTGCTCTTTAAAAGTATAGTTATTTAGATGAGTTACCTGATAGATTGACCACCAGTCAATCCAGTACTTATCAACTTAGACAGCAAGTGTGCCAGTGGAAAACTGGTGAAAGCTCCGAGTATCTGCCTTTTAGATGTAAGTAGCTGGTAGTTATGTTATAAGTGGCATTTGGCTTCTGTGAGAGAAACTGGCACCCAAATGTCAGTGTGTTTCAGAGATAGGATTCAGGAGCGGGAGTTGATGTCTCACTGAAGTTACAGTCACTGTCAGATGACAAGCTCATCCAAATTGGGGTGTCTTAGCTAGTGGGTTTAAGAAGAGCTACAAGAGTGAGGATGATGTATGTCATGCACAAACAGAAGACTTCTGCCCATGTCAGTTTTTTTTTTACCTCATTTTTACATTACTGGGAACTAACTGGAAGTTTGTAATTTGTAAGTCAATAAAACTGTTTTCACTGACATCCCTGAAAAAATAAAGGGATTTGTTTAAAAAAGTATGTTGGTGGTAGTTTGCAGGCTAGACTTGCTGCTGAAATAAATGAGAGCTAATGCATTTTCCCTACTTATGCATCACAAGCATCACTTCTATGTCATGATTTTCTCAAGATTTCTTTGGATTTGGGAGAGAAACTAAAGCAAAATGGGATTTCTACAGATGAATATTTTCATAGTTTACGTTCCGATAATGACTACAAATATTTTACGTTATCATAATTACATCCTGTCCTCTTTAACCTAGTTCCAGTAGATTCTAATGGACATTTGGTTAGGCATTGTAAGATAACGAACTCTCTACAGAAAGAATAGTAATAGTTCTTTTTTTTTTCTTTTTCTTTTCTGTGTGCATGTGTTCCTGGGTATATCCTGAACATTTTCCACTAGTTTTTCTATTCTTCTGTGTGACCCTTGCAGCACATTCTTCCCTTCTCCAGTTTGGTATGTCTGTCTTCAGAAAACTAATCTGAAGTTCTCAAGACATGAGTTTTGCAGGTCTATTCTGTTTTTTGTGTATACCACTTAAAATTCTTCATCTTTTTCCATTACTCTTGTGCTAATGTCCTGTCTGACTCAGAAGGAGGAAAGAGGGACCATGATTAATCATAGAATGACCGTCCTGCATAGAAGCGTGTTGCATGGAACCAAATTTTATGTGAATGACAATCAGATATGCTTATGGAGGTCATTTCTACCTTTTAAATTTTGAAGATCTTCTTCTAAAGTCAGTTCATTATACTGGTTTTGCAGTATTTAGAAGTGTGTTTCTGGAATTTATCTTTGTCATAGAAAGCCAAATTCAGCCGTTCTGAACGCTCTTATTACATCCTATGGTCCTTTCCCTGTAGAATTTTTTTTCACATGCAGTTGAACATGTTAGATTTCTTTTGCTAATTGCTATAGCAGTTGTGTGGATACCTTCTTTCGCTGTCTGATCTGGTAATGCAGATTAGTTCCTGTCCTGATGACTTGGCAATTATTTTGCAGGGGGTGGTTGTTTTCTTCAGATTCCCTGGCATCAGATGCAAGCAAGACTTGCCTATCTGAGTAAAAAAAATAAAGTAATTAATATCTCCATTACACGTTAATTTCTCCATCTCTCAGATGTCTGGTTTTGCTAACCGATGAAAGCTTCTAAGCCATTTGATACGTATGTGCTCAGGTTTCATACATAAATTGTTTTCTTAATGACTTTTGCTATGGAAGCAATCAAAGTAAAGTAATGTCATCCAGTCATTCTGCTGGTTGGTGTACCTTCTGCTGTGTTTCTGAAAAAAGACAACTGATGGGAGAGACTCATTCTAAATTCCTTCTATTTAAAATCCACACTCCTTAGTATTTTCTTCCCCAGATGTTTCCACACTTTTTAAGATATGCTCACTGAGCTGGGTGATTTTTTAAAAGATTCTATTTTCATATGAAAGTTATATGTCAGTGGGCATCTGTACTGTGTGTGAATAGCCCTTATCCTTTCCTTTATTCTGTACTAGTAGCTGTCTGTCAAAAAGGAATATGTCACTGATACTCACTGCTACTTTAAAACGTACAGCTACTACATGTTTTTACTGAAGTTACTGTTGTATCATTGGAGTGCAAGAGATACTGAATTGGTGGCAATTGTCTGGCATCAAAAATATCTGATTTTGAAAAAATGGAGTTTTTGTTGCATCTGATAAACGTGTATGGGAATGAGCACACAGCAGCTGTGTATGCATGGTTGTCTGGGTGTGTTAATTCTGTGTACCAGAGCACATGAAAAAATAGTCCCTAATGCAATAGTCCCCATAAATCTTAAAATATGCTCGTAGAATAAAAATAATTTTAACTATCTGTTCACACTATGCCTGTAGAGCAGGGGATGAGCACATTCGTCATTATATCTACGGTCAACAAACTAACTTGGATTTACAGTTCTCTGGCCATGCAGTTTAGCCCTTACAGGTCCAAAACCAGCTTTTTCACAAGTGAAACTTTTGTTTCAAGCCAACAATTCCT